ACATAATACACCCTTATATATACATATTATATATACTATATATATTTATATAGCTATATATAAGCAATTTATGCTAGTATATACATATATAGTTTACAAGAAAATGCCTTAGATAAAAAAAATAGCCCAAAACGAAAAAGCCCGTTAGGCCCGCGGGCCCGGCCCATTTAGCCCGGGACCATGTGGGCTTAGGACCGCCGCGGGCCGGTTCCACACATTGGGACCGTTTGGCCCGGGACCGCCTCAGCCAGGCCCGTTTGGCCCGGGCCCGGACCACAATACAGCATTACGATAGACCCTTGTGGTCCGGCCCTTCCTCGGAGCCCGCGCATAGCGGGAGCTTAGTGCACCGGGCTGCCTTTAATATTGGATTATTATCCACTTCTGGAAATCCTTGTACCGGGGTTTGTATTTGGCTACTGCCAATATATGCTGAGAAAATGTTCACAGATAAAACCTTTTAGCTCATCCATCATCTCATCATCCTTCTACCTGACCAGCTAACTGTGGTCCTGTGCTCCTGTTTGAAAGAAATTCAAACATTTATTAAGTATATTTCACATTACAACTATTCTTGTGGGATGTCAACATTTGGCACCAACGAAGAGGGAAAAGAAAAGGGAGGGAGAAATGGCGACAGAATACTTAGGCCATGTCTTGGACAGAAACGAAAGGCTATGAGATTTAAACCTTCATATGGTGAATGGTTTGATCATATATTATACTTCTGGACGAAATGATCTTGTGACACTATCTTTCCTTACAACTCTTAGGGGCCGTTTGGTACATGGGATAATGATAATAATCCCGAGATAGAATTTGAAATTGTATTTATCTCGTGTTTGGTCAGAGGTATTAGCTAATCCGGGGATAAATTTTACACTAAAGTGGTGGGATTAACTATCTCATATTTAAGGGGTCGTTTGGTGCAATGGTGGGACAAACGACCCCTTAAGAATGGCAAGTATTAGCTGCTACGATCTTTGAGACCCATTAGCATGTTTTCCATAATCTAGGACGACGATACCCATAATGGCAACTACGAGAAAGAGTTTAAGAATTAAGAAAGCAACAATTGAGCTACTTTAAGAGCTAACTTTTGATAACTTTGTCTCTCCAAATCTACAATTAAGCTACAAGATGTGATATAATAGGAGTAAATTTTCTTCACTGACTTAGCAAGAATAACGACAGGATTTTGATTACATCTTCAGCTTAAAAGACCAGGATGACCACTATATTGAAACAATGAGTTGAGTTGCATAACTAAACTGCCAAAATATGACCTAAGAGTTGGTCAACATAACAGGAACTAATTTAGAAAGAAACAAAAATTGCATCTAGCAAGATACCAACAAATATTCAGATAATATGGTCTTAAAATGAGCCATGCTAATGCAGAAGTGTTCAAATGCAAGTCACAATACCTCAGCAGGACAAGGAGTTGATCAAGTGTCAGGCTCATGGCCTGACGATTGCAGGTCAACTCCTGTCCCCTCCTAATCATTGGAACATCGTCGGGGACCCAAGCTTTTACGTAGCTTAAGCAGGTTTGGCGACATATTTCTTATGTTGCGCAATAAACATCAGTATCATGTAGGAGGTCATATCCGATAAATGGAAAATAATTAACTATTTCCATATGCCTCGTTAAGTGAATCAAACTTTCATAAATCTGATCGGACTGTGGATGTGTCTTGTCTCTAACAATAAACTCAGAAAGTTTTCCATTTACTTCAATGGAGCTGCAACCAGGTGTTTTTTCTAATCCTCTTTCATCCATCATCTTCCTAACATCTCGTGCCTTATGCCGCATATTTGCTTCAACATACATATTACCAAGTAAGACATAAGTTCCACTATCAGCAGGGTCAAACTCAAGAAGTTTCAGAGCTGCCTTTTCCCCTATCTCGACGTTCCCATGAACTCGACAAGCAAAAAACAATGCTCCCCATATTGAAGCATCAGCTGCCATTGGCATTCTCTGGACAAGCTCATAAGCTTCATGCAAAAGCCCTGCCCTTCCCAAAAGGTCCACCATACAACAGTAATGTTTAGATTTAGGAGGAATTTTGAAATTTGCGCTCATTTCAGCAAACAGCTTTCGCCCTTCTTCAACCAAACCTCCATGACAACAAGCTGATAAGACCCCGAGAAGGGTGACATCATCTGGTATCAAGCCACTGTCAACCATCTTTGAAAAATATGATAGAGCATCATGTCCATTTCCATGAAATGCTAAGGCACCAATTGCAGCTGTCCAAGTCAATGAGTTTTTGACGGGCATCTCATGAAATATTTGAAGTGCCTTTTCCACATTACCACATTTGGCATACATATCAACAAGCGCAGTACCCAGTGAAACGGTTAGACAAAGCTTATGTTTTTTGATGTAGTGGTGAATCCAAATCCCAATATCAAGTGCGCCAAGTTGTGCACAAGCTGATAGGCAACTAAGCATAGTCACTTCATCAGGTTTTACATTCAAGGTTTGCATTTTGTGAAACAAAGCCAGCACCTCTTTACCACGCTTAGCTTGGACATAACCTCCGATCAAGGCATTCCACTGTACAATAGCTTTATCTGGCATCTCATTAAAAAGCCTCCTCGCTTCATCCAAAAGCCCAAGTTTAGCAAACCCACTAATCATTGTAGTCCAACTTACCATGGTCCTCTCCTCCATCCTATCAAACAAAGCCTTTGCTTCATGTAGACTCTCATTCTTCATATACATGTCTATGAGTGCATTGCAAAGTGGTATGCTAAAATTCAAGCCTATATCCATAACATAGCTATGTAACTTCCTCCCTAGCTCCAAATTCTTAAGCTGACCACACGCCCCTACTATCCCAATAATAGTAACTTCATCGGGCTCCACAGATGCCATTTTCATCTTCTCAAATACCATCAACGCCTCCCTCGGTCTCCCACTCCTAACATAACCATTAATCAATGAATTCCAAGAAACCAGGTCCCTCATAGAACTTTCATCAAACAGCTTATTTGCATCCTCCAACTTCCCACAGGATACCAAAAAATGAATCATTGCATTGAGCACAAACACATCATGATCATGACCAAACCTCAAAACATGCACAAAAATCTCCTGTCCCATATAATACAAACCCAATCTAGAACATATCTTAAGCAACAAAGGAAAAGTATGATTATCAGGCTTCAAACAACTACATTCACTCCCTTTAGTTATGAACATCTGATTATACGAAAAAATTGAATCTTTGGGGTTTTCACTTTCACTACAACCCCTTATATCCATATTCCTAGAAAATGTATTTGGGTTTTCCATATTAAGCATTTGTTTGTACAAAAAGATTCCATCTTTGGAATTTTCACTTTCACTACAACCCCTTATAGCCATATTCCAAGAAAATGTATTTGGATTTTCCATATTATACAAAATCTTTTTACAATAATGAAGATTACCCTTTTCTGAGAGGGCACAAAAGGCTATTAAACGACTTGAAGCAAACCCATCTGAGAATAGGCCAGTAATAATCATCTGAGACTGAATTTGTTTGAGTTGAGTCATGTATTTGCATTTGGTTTCTAAAAGAGAAAGTAGTGGATTGGTTTGGACAAAAATATGATTTGTCCTCCATTTGCATTGGGATTTTTCAAGTTTGGTTTTGTAGTGGGGTAATTTAGAGCAAGGGATTATAGAAGAAGAATAAAAAGAAAGGATTTTAGAGAGTGGTTTTAGTCTAAAATGGTTTAGTGATTTGTAGCAGTTGATGTTGAGGGATGTAGAAATGATGTGCATCTTGGGAAGATTAAAACTTTCGCCATATTCAGCTGAAGAAGAATGAAGACAGATTTTATAGGACAAATTTGGAAATTTTGGTAACAGATGAACAAATATTCAAAAGGATTGCAATTTGTTGAAAAGGAATCTGGTTAAAAAAGAAAGGGTGTTTTCAACGACATTTTGGTTCTTTGTCCTTAAAAATAAAAATGACATGACCAAAGATGAAAATAGAGGTATTTTTACTCTTGGGAGAATTGTCAAGATACCGTTATAACTCTCTATAACAACATCTTTATATAACAGTCATTTACCGTAAAAGCCAAGTTCTCCTCAGAATCGATTTTTTAAGTTATATTTTACCTATCTATAGCAAAATGCTCTTTATAAAATTACCCTTCTATAACAGCCACAGAGAATCATTAAGATTACTAATAACAGTTTTAAAAATATGCACACAATCTTTTTCATTAAACAAAGTTTCTATCTTGCATAAGATATAAGATTTGAAGATTTGCACATAATATCTTTTCCATTGGACAAATTCCAAAAAATATTTAGATAGAAAATTAAACTATTAAGCTCTTAGATTGTCTTTAAGGGAAAACTATTGATACCTTTTTGCTGAAAATTTGAACGCGAATCTTCGCCAATTCAAACGTTATATTGCTAGTAAGAGAATAAATCTACAAAGCAAGCTACAATTACAATGTTCTTCCATCAATCTTAAAGGAATTTATTTTTCTAGGTAGCTCTAAATTGCCTGTTATGTATTAGCTTTCTTTTATATATAACATTAAAAAGAAGAAAAAATTGATTTTTAGATAATTTTTATCTATAATAGGTAAAAAAAAAATTTTAACATCAAATGTTGTTATAACGGCCATTCACTATAAAAGCCAAAAAATATCAGAACAAACGAGGTGGTTATAGAGAGGATTGAGTATAAGTAGAAATCTAATCAACTAAAGTCGAAAAAGAGAAAGCGGTCTACAATTGCCCTTTTGTGCTAGCTTAAACTTCATGGTTTAACTTGAATGGACTTTGTGCATTAAAGGCAACTTTCCAAGTACAAAGCATAGTACAACAGGGACACAGAAACTAGGAGAATATATTGCATAACACTCACCTGTGGCTTTATTAGAAGCTGATAACATAAAATTAACAAAAAAAAAACTGATATGGAAGCAGGCTGACTCTAGCTACTGGAAAAGACTGTATCAGATCAGATGAGAGCTGAGCTACTAATCTGCACAAGTTTTACAAATATAGAACACCAAAATTGCCTATATACTAAAAGAAAACTGAGACTAAATCACTGTACAAAATCACCTTTCTCCTACTATTACTACTTGTTCCTCCTGATTAGTTATGAAGAAAATTGCATCTAGGACCCTTTATACATCGACCACTCGGATAATATGGGCAGGGCTTATTCTTGTTGAAGCCACCTCTAGATGAACCTCCAGGCCCTTTATTTCCAAAAGACGATTGCCTATCCCAGTTCCTACTATTGTAACCAGAATTACTACCATGAGATCCTTTGTCCCTCTGACCCGAGAATCTCCCATCTTGATGGTGATCATTATTTCTTGTCCCCCGACTTCCACTAGGTGCGCCCCTACCTTGATTTGAATCTCCTTGAGATGGTCCTTGGATATGTGCTCCAGGATTTCCAGTTCCTATAGCCGCCCACCCATTACCAGATGTAGGCGCTTGAATAGTTGATCCTGAGCTCACTGTTGGAGCGACCCAACCTGGATTGGCATTTCCAGGCGCCAAGCCCTGAACGCCAGGATTCCCTGATTGTGCAACCCATCCGGGGTTCGGATTCCCAGGAAGTGCCCCAGTGGGAACCCACCCAGGATTTGCGTTCCCTTGAGGCATTGCTTGAACAGTCGCTCCCCAGTTCACATTCATGATTGCTGGTACAGGTCCACCCCAGCCCACATTTGGATTTCCTGGCATCATACCCCAGCCATTGTTATTTTCAGGTCTTAACGCTGAAGCAGAACTCATATTCTCTTGCAAACCACCCCATGGAACGTTAGGCATAGTTGTAGGCTGTATGTTCTGTTGGCTGCCTTGAGCTGGAGCTCTCCAATAATCAGGTTGAGGCAAAACTGAGGCACCTGCATTTGAATAATTTCCAGCAACATTCTGAACAGATGACGACATAGTACCCCAGTTACCATATCCCTGGGGCTGCCCTGGTGCCAGAACAGAAACATTTGGCTCTCCCTTGGAAGGTGCAGCTGCAACCCAAGTATTGACATCCACATTAGGGTTCTGCATATCAAGCGATTCTGCTTGGAGAGCTGCTGCATCCCATGCACCAAGTTGGCTATTCATCACTGCTGTATGTTGTTCGCTACTAGCAGCAAATGACTGAGCATTTTGCAAAGAATATCCAGACTGTGCAGCAGTTACCTGCTCAGAAGTGGGCGCTAGACCAAAATCACTACCAGAATTCACATTATTACTATCCGATCCCCTAACTGAATGCACACCAGAATTTTGAACAGAAGTAGAAGTATGAATCCCACCATCTGGTGGAGCGGGAGGAGATTGGAGAACTCTGTTACCACTAGGATACAAATTTGCAGCTGTAACAGCAGATCCATCTCCTCCAACCCAACCGGCAGTATTCTGCTTTGGAGTAGGAGAAGGGAGATTCATAGAATCATTGTTACTCCAACTCTCCGTAGAAAGAGCAGACACTTCACCAGAAGAAGTCATTCCACCTCCAGAGGGAACCAAACGACGAGAATTCTGAGATCCAATATTCTGGTCGACTTGAGGTCTCTCTCCATCTTGTTTTTGCAGAACAGTTGTTGAAAGTATATTGTCAACTGCTGATGGCACTTTCTCAAACCTCCCTGCCAATG